AAAAACCCCCCCCCCCCCCCCCGCCAAAAACCAGAAAAAGAACAGAGCAGCTCAGCATTGCTAGCTTTAGAGGAAAACCAGGAAAAATAAAACCCAGAAAAATAAAACCCTCTGAAAACTTCCTTTTTGGAGAGCAGGTGATCAGATACAGCAGCCAAGCCTGTCTGAAATGCCCCGCTCGCCCAATCAGACAGGGCTGGGAAGAGCAGAGCATTCATCAAATTACAGAGAGACTCCTTCTGTCATCTTAAACCCCAGTTATCAAGTGACACAGAGGATGCGCTGAAACACTTGATGGACTGCTCGATTTTTCAGCTTATTTAAACACATTAGTGTGCAAGCTGGAGCGATACAGAAGGGGACAGGGAAGAAAAACCTTCACAGCATCTTTCAGGAAACGTGTTCCTCGCGGAGGTTCGCTGCCGAAGCTCTCCGAGGAGAGGGCTCCCGCCGCGAGAGGGCTGGCTGGGCGCCCGGGGCTCTGTCCGGGGAGCTCGGCCCTTTGCCACACTTATGGGAAGAATTCGTTGTCACTGCCTCGCTGAAAACTGCATCCCTCAGAGGACTTTGGACGCCACCATGCCAGCCCAGCAGAAGAAAATTATCTTTTGCATAGCCGGGGTGCTGAGCTTTGCTTGTGCGCTGGGGACCGCGGCAGCCATCGGCACGCAGCGGTGGGTTAAGGGGATGATACTCTGCAAGACAGGAGCCCTGCTCGTCAACGCCACTGGCCAGGAGCTGGAGAAGTTTATTGGCGAAATCCAGTATGGGCTTTTCCACGGCGAGCGTGTGAGGCAGTGTGGGCTCGGGGGGAGACCTATCCAGTTTTCATGTGAGTAACAATGGCATTTGAATTATTTAACGCTGCACTGCTGATGGCTAGGGGAGCCGGGAGATGCTGCCTGCGTCCCCTTGCTCATACACAGAGCCTAACAAGCATGAAATACTCTAAAGCAAATGCTGCCGTTACAGCATTCTGATCTTCAGGTTCAAATAACTTATTTTCTGACACTAGTAAAGCCACGCTAACATTTTCAACAATCTATGTTTGTTACACAGATACCTACATTTCAAAAGATTTATACTACTACTATAAAAAAAAGAATATTTTTGGTTTTCAATTAATCTGTCATCTTCCTCTGTGTCAACATTACATCCTCTGTGCCTTCATGAAAGAACGAACTAAACTAGCAGAAATCTCATGAAAGAGCTAGGGCAAAGACAGGTTTGGCTGCTGTTGAGAAACAAAGCAGCCAAAAAGTTAGCAACCTGCTGCATTAATTGGAAGAACGGCTGGTTGGTGCTAGCTGATGTTCAGTCGGTTGATCTGCAAGTTGAACTTGGTATCTGACATAGAGAATTTTGTCAAAGACTGTTAGCAGTGGTTTTGCTTTACATGTAATATTCATAACCTATTTATCTTCAAGGGTAAGAAGATCAATTAAATGATCAAGTGAACACACACTTTGTATCTATAGCAGCACATTAAACAGATGATAACAAACAGCCATTTGTTATATGTGCAATATGCCACCTGAAGTTATTACAAAACACAGTTTAGAAGCATTCTGCTACAACAGCACTGGTAAATTCCTTCCCTGAGTCATTTAAGGCAAGATAAGGTTACCAGATTAGGTATCAGAAATTATTTACTATAGAATAATTTTCCAAAGTAGTAGACCAAATTAATTTAATATAATATTAAGATTTGCCATCTCTAATTAAATTCCATCACTAGTCCATTGATACAGCTGAAGTTCTCCTCTCAATCGCTTTGTTCACCATCACAGCACACAGCTATTCCGCCCTACTGGTTACAGGCTGGAGTGAATTTTCGGAGGGGTCCGCTAAACCCCAAGGAATTAGCTCTCCGCTGTAGGTGAAACTGTTATGAACCACAGCCGACAAAGCCACTAGCGATCAGCAGCCCCGTGACAGATGCTTGTCTGGGTTCATCGCAGCGACGGAGCTGCGAGGCAGAGCTGAGCTGCTGTACAGCGAGGACAAGACGCAGCTGCAGCCCGAGGCCAGGGCCGTCCCCCCCATCCCCGTCCCCCCGGTCCGGTGCGCGCCCCACTTCCCGCAACTCCCGGCCGTGGGACGGAGCCCGGCTGAGCAGCCCCGGGGCTCGCACCGGCCCCCCCAGGGATCTCCCCAGGCAGGGAGAGCAGCAGCAGCAGAATGGATCGGTGGCCAGTTTGGTGCAAGTGAAATTTTGGAAAGGTCGCCCGCAGCGACCTCGGCACGCAGCAAGAAGCGGGGCGTCCCTCCTAGTCCGTATCGGCTCCGTGCTCGAGGCAGGACTGAACCCCGCCACAGCAGACAGCCCCCACATCAGAGAAGCCACAGTCGAGACAGCCCGTTAGGCTTCTCTTTCTCATTATTTTCTTTCCACGGATTTGTTACTTTGATACTTTTAAACCATTTCATTGAGGTGCCTTGCATTCAGGCTCCCATCTGTACATTTCATCTTGCTGTGGCTGAAATATTTTAATATACTGCTAGTGTGATTGTAGCAATAGCTTCAAAGAATTTTAATTTTGTGGGCAGTATGAATTAATATTACACTTACAAGAGAGAATACAAAAATGCAGCTTGTTTGTGATGATTTAACTACATCAATCATCACGTATTTTTAAATATCATACAATGCTACATACAGGTAAGCTCTGGATCTCTGCAAGTACTGCAGAGCATTTTCAACCAAAAATTCTCCAGGGTTACAGAGTTTCCTCTCACTATGCCCATACACTTTCCATCCACACTCACAGAAATCTCATGTAACCAAGCTTTCCTATCCAAATGTTTACCAAACTTGCATTCACAAGTATAATTTCAACTGAACACATAAACACAAATGTAACCAAAGAACAGAAGTAATACAATGTGAAGTTTTCAATTAGTCACAGCTAAACAATCCACTTTGGAATGGTAAAAAAATAAACAAACAACAAAACCTGAGTGTTCATACAGAGCTGCAGAATCCTACTGCACAGGACAATATTAAAAATTAACTTCTTTAATACCAGTGCCTAATGTACATATTCAAAGAACTCCAAGGCTTTCAGGAATTGCATAAAGAAGAAAAGATTGAAAAAGTAATTCACTCATCAGTAAATATCACTGTTCTCATTTTCAGACAGAGAAAATGAGGTTTGATGCATGTGCTTTAATGCCTGTTCCCAGGATCTGAAATCAAGGCTGGATTTAACCTTATGCCCGAGACTCCTCGAGGCAGAAGCGAAGCTGCCGACATGCCTGCAATGGAGCAGCATCTTTCCCTGGAGAGAGCAGCCTTGTTCCATGTGTCCCAGCCCATCGGGCATCATCACTTGCAGCAGCAGAGCTAGCAGGTCACTGGGGTTGGAAACACAACCCAAGAGTCTTGACTGACCTAAAACCGAACCCAAGCTTGCTTAGTAGAGAATTCTTTTACCTTTTATTCTCCTTCCATACAAGGCAAGCATTAATAGCAAAATATCTCAATAGGTCTCACTCACAACAGTACAAGCCCGTCTTGTCAGTCTTATTTGCCTGCACTGGCATCCTTTATATAGCACTCCGAAAAGGTAATGCTACGAGGTGAGCTTTGGCACTGCCTCTACCTGAGATGTATCCCAGTTACAGCCTAAATAGTTTCACAAGCCCAGCTGTACCCATCACAGCACTCCGCAGGGCAGGCTTTGCCTCTGTGAGCTCTCACAGACAGCTGAGGGTGGAAGCATTGCTGTCCTCACAAATTGTTCTCAGATCATCTTTTATTTAGATTAAAAAGCAATTGCAACACTTACTTTATTAGGATTTAGATTTAGAAACAATGATTGGGTGGCTTAGCAAAATATGCCTCTATTAGAAGCGTTCACTTCAGAGACCACTTAATGAAGGAGGCTGGTTCACGTTCTCGGGGCTGCAGCAGACCTTTCCCATCCGAGTCGGGGCTCTCAGGAACTCACTGGAAGCATCCCGGAAAGCAGGATAACCATATACAATACACACATCCATAGTTTAATGCACTGAAGTGCACTTTAGCATGTCTCAGAGGAAAAGGCACAGAAAATAGGCTAAATGATTTAGTTCTATGTTTGTTCCCATTAAATGCTCCCCTCTGACCACTATATCTCTCTTAATTGTAAAATGAATTTGCTCTGCCAGCAAACCCAGTTCAGCTGGGGAAAGCCTTCTGCTTCATTTGCTCTTGCTGATTCTCATCAGTTTCTGGGTCAGCAGTTCATTTTCTAAAGGTCACTGGCATGCATACCTAACACACAATTTCATTCATTACAATGAAGGAATGTTTTTCTTTCAAGACAACATAGCTGCTGGAACTAATTTTTTCCTGATATGTCACATATAAAATTTTAATGACAAACAACAATAAATGCAGGTACCAAGGGAAAGATTCAATACAAAGTAGTAGCATGCTTTCTTAAAATAAGCAATACAAAATTCTGTTATTAAATACACAAGTTCTCCCAAAACTTCAGGTGGCATCGCAAGAACTAATGCTATTCTCTGTAGAAATTCTGCACAGGCAGGGATTCTTCAGCCTTTTTGTTGGCTAGCCTGACTGGTACAACAGTGAAATTGTACCTTATCCCCCATTAACAGTACAACTGCTTCTTACACTTGCAAATATCTGAATTACGTAATATAAAGTCCAACAAACACAAGGTCTAGTTTCTAAGACATGTGTTGCATTTTACTAGGATGATATAAGGAATTTAAGTACCAGTGGCCAAACTGGACAATTAAGTAGCCATCAGCAGAAGTAACCTTTTATGCAGGTAAATTCTTCCTCTAGGCAGATAGGTGAATTTAGCAAACAGGTAGCTTTGCTATGTGCAGCACTTGCACATGCAAAGACAGCAAGCGGTTGCATTCCTGGTCTAGACCCGACAGCCACAAGCTCCCTGCGCCAGGACCCAGGCGGGGGGATGCCCCAGGGAAGGGGGTCCGGCAGAGCAGAGCCCAGGGTTACCAAATCCTCCGTTACCCAAGGAAGGTGCGAGCGCTCGTGTCATGGAAGGTGGGCACAGGGCTCTGCGTGCCCCCTCGTCACCCCGGGCCACGGTCCCCCACAGGCATCGGGTGCCCCTCTCTGCTCCCAGCCAGCAACAACACAACAGGTGATATTTATGTGACACGGCTTCAAGAATAGTTTGCAAACATTTGCTTCGTTAATTTCCCTTTCATTTAGTCAGGGAGATGAAATGACTTGACACCACATTACCTGCTTCTCTGTTTACTGCGTGGCAAGCTGCAGAACTGCTTGCTGGTAAACATTTTACAAGGTAGAGTAATTTATGTGAGGCTTTTTTACTCTCTGCACATTACAGCTGCAGCGAGGCAGCGCTGAGGCATTATTACCCCCACTTTAATCGTGCCCCTGTGGATCAGGAGCAGTTAAGTGTATTTGATGATTCCTTCTAAAATACCCGTTGTTGCCAAACAAACATGAATGATTAAAAATTATTCTCTCGTACCGAGTCTGATTGACTATCCCCTTGTGCCCTAGCTAAGCAGGAGCGCAATTTGAAATAGTGGCTAAAAAGCCGCACTAAAATATTTAAAATAAAGTATCCCTAAATATTTGCATACATAGTCGCACCGGCTGTTACATAGCTGGAACTCAGCACAGCCTTCAGCCCATCGGGCAGCGCTTTGCCAGGCAGCAGCCACCAACTCCAAGTGCAAAACCGCACACGCTGGTCGGCTGCCGCTTCCCGCGGCGGCCGACCCGACCGACCTGCTCCGTGGGCTCTCGTGGGGCAGCGACCAGGGCAAGGGATACAGCGGCAAAGGCAGCTGATGGGATAGTTTCCAGCTTTGGGAAACTTCGAATTAAATAGCATGTGGATGAAAGCGTTCCATTAACGGTGTAACAGATGCAGTATTTGCACCTACCGAGCAACAGCCTTCTTACTCTCAACTCCACGGAGCAAAGCTCCGCTGCAAATAACCGGCATTTCACCCGCCGGCAGGAGGAGAGCTGGCAGGGCACAGCACCAGCCCTCGCAACTGCACGCTTTTTATTTTTTCTGTTCAATAAATAACTCTTTGATGTAACCTTTATGAATTTTTCCCTCTTCAGTATTGTATTTCATTTTAAAAATAATTTAAGAGATTAATGTATGTACAGAAATACATGCTTTTTCTATTTTTAAGGATTTTTGTCAAAATACCAAGTTTTTTTTCTATTTTCTAAAAATAGAAAAGTGCCAAAGGATAGGAGGTAAGAAACCTTCGATCCTTTTACATGTCTACACATCTCTTTGGCAATAACTGTTGACGGATTTTCACAGGGAGTCTCCATACTATAAACAACTTCACACATTATCATCCCCAGATATCAATCCTTCCTGGAGCCCTGAGTGTCTCCCAGCAACATGCAGTGCACAACATGCTTAACCTGCCAGCGTGTCAGCATCATGGCTTCACTAATGATTTACTGCTTCTTCATAATAAAATACAGAGCTTTTCACTTACAGATTTCAGAAGAAAACCCACATATTTTTTGTCAAGTTTACACCTATAGAATTTTGGCTAAACAGCACTGTACATTTGTATAAATGAAAGCAGTGGAATCACGGCTCTGAAACAGAATGGAAAAAAAAGTAACACAGGCACTGTGGGTAGCCCTTCATGCCATCCTGCAGGCCGGTGCAAGGTGGACCTGCTTCCCCAAATACAGCTTCCAATTTTTTTTTCTAAGTATATGCTATTCACATTAAGGACCAAATACCACCTTGGCAGATGGTAGGCACATTACCCTCCACCTTGCATCTGCATGATCTGGTTTCTGAGGAATGAATAACCCCCAAAACCTCACACTGCCCTGAATAGTGCTTACAGGTGAAGAAGAGTTTGTTCTGCCTGCCAAGACACCGGGGTGAGGATGCTGAGCCAGATCAGGTCCCCAGCGTTTAAAGAGCTGGAGGTGCTGGGGGTCGCACCCTGCAGAGCCCGGCACAGATGCCGGGCAGGGACAGCGGCGTTGCAGAGGTGCCGTTCCGCATCCCGCACGGGGTACGGCCAGGGCAGGGGGAATAACACCCTCAGGGAAATACCCTCGGGAAGGGGAGGAGAGGCTTTCCCTGGAGCTGGTCGTTCTCTCCTTGCCAGTCTACACTTCTGAGCATCACAAAATTCCTCTGCCTCCAAACATCCATGAAAACCTGTTTCTAGTTAATAATTTCACTTTCACCTTTGGCTGCATTTGGAAGACTGTGATTTAAAACAATTATCACAAACCAGCAAGAAATCCCTGGCTTGACTTCTGAAACAATTTTGCCTAATGTGTATAATAATGTTTTGTTTGTTTTGTTTTTAGTTTTTCCAGATTTGCTCAAAGTTATCCCTGCAAGTATCCATGTTAGTGTCATTCTCTTCAGTACAGTACTGATCATCTTTGCTCTGGTGGGAGCAGGTTTCTTCATGTTCAATGCTTTTGGCAGCCCTTACGAAACTCTGCATGGCCCCGTCGGGTTGTACCTCTGGAGCTTCATTGCCTGTAAGTACCACCCCACCCTGGGCTACCAGGCTAATGCCCGTCCGTGTTTGCTGCTTGCCACAACCGATTAATCGGCGTAGGAGACCGTATTAAGGACTGTGGCTGCATTGACTCTAAACTGGCAAAACAGAGCTAGGCAGAAAGGCAGATGATTTTGCTGTATCAAAACACATTTTTTCCAAACTAGAGTTAAGAGATAAAACACTGAACTCCTCCACGAGGGCGGGCAGTGGGATGGGTGCGGGAGGGCGGCTGCAGGAGGCCGTGGCAGGCAGCCCCGGCAGCTCTGGCTCTTCTGCGTAAGCTGGCAGAAAACGGGGATGGTGCCCACTAGCCCCAGGGACCCGGCACTGGGCTGACACTGTAAAAGCGGTCTCTGAAAAAACATGGCCAACAGGGATGATGGACCATTCCCGTCCCTCTGCCACTTAGAGAAGGTAAAGCCCATTCTCTGTGTTGTTGGCTTAGCTGACAAGAACATTTACCATTACTTTACAAAGTAACATGTATTACAGTCATAATGTAATGAAGTACTTAAGTACATATTTATCTGTAAACATGCAGCCAGTTCAGTTATGTTCACTAGGACAATGACAGCTTAAAGCTGAAAAAGAGCACAGAGACCTTGCCAGATCATGGCACTAAAGCAGCCGTGTTAAATATTACTCGTCCTAAGCCAAATTCAATTTAAAAAGCTTACCAATTTCTATAGCCATTGGCTTGGATTCTAAAAGTAATCCCTGTTAAAGCTAAGTTACAGTAGCCATAATAACACTATCAATATGGCATTTGGTTGTGATGTACATCACATGGCCTTGCTGCAGGGATGGCCGAGATGATGAGCATCTCCCCCTCCATTTCAGGTTCCTGTGGTTGCCTCATCATGATTCTCTTCTCTTCAGAAGTGAAAATCCACCACCTTTCAGAGAAAATTGCTAATTTCAAAGAGGGAAGTTTTACATTCAAGACTCACAGTGAACAGTTTGCAAATTCATTCTGGATCATCCTGGTTTGCTCCCTGGTGCACTTCCTGAACGCCTTGCTAATACGTTTTGCTGGATTCCAATTTCCCTTTTCAAAATCAAAAGATTCAGGGACAATCACTGGAGCAGTTGACCTGATGTATTAGAATTACATAATTTAAGAACATTTCAAGCAAAGAGGTTCATCTCTACTACATTCAACAACCACCAGATGTACTAACTTGTAAATGATTAGCTCTAAAGAAGTTAAAAAGAGTGAAGGTTTCAAATAAACATCAATATGGCATATGCAGTAAACAAAAGATGACATGCTACTTGGTAATGTCTAGATCAAAATACCCTCTCTTTCTTGGGGTAAGCCCTTATGAAGACATTTGCCTTTTTTTCCAGCAAGTTACTTGAAAAGTAGCTGGTATTAAAAAAACCCTAGGAATATCAATAGCATTTAACAGGATCTGGAAAGTAAAATAAGTGGGTTGCAGTAGAGGCACACACTATCACCAGCAGCAGTTTCACCCTTTAGCCCTTGTGAAGACGAGGATGCAGTTATTACCGTGTCAGGACAGCAGAGAACAAGGACACCCAGCAGAGCTACAGACATCAAACAAGAGAAGAGAAAGCATATGGGCTTTGCTCGTAACACATATCAGGCTCCGTCTCAAAAGCACAGTGCTCAGGAGGAACAGAACGCTATAGCAAGTGCTTGCAGGACAAAACCCAAACACCTGAGCCCACCACTAACACTTTAACATAGCATCACATGCATGGCAATGTGATCATTTCTGGCCATAAAGCTCTCTTTTGTTTTTTTAGTTTTAACAAACCAAATTATAACCCTTTGACCCTGAAGTCCCAAAAGCCCTCATTTCCCTGTGCCACCACTGTGGCTGGGGGCTTCGTGATTTCGGTTAAAGAGCAACACACAGCAAAGCAGGATGTCAAGGAGATGCAACGCACTCCTGCTTGTCCGAGAGGAGGCAGCCTGGCTTGGTGCTGCTGAACAACCCCTCTGCAACGCACCAAAGCAAAGAGCATTTCCCAGAGCAAAGGGACAGGAGTGAGACCAGGCACCCTTCACGTTGCACTACAGCCTCCCAAAGCCTCACGGTCAGAAGCATGAAGAGCCCTGCCCAGGAAAGAGCCCCGCAAACTCTCTTTCATCAAACAATACAAATAAACAAAGTCAAAACCTTTGGCAAAGGACAGCAACAGACAGGCTTACAAGGCATGCTGCAGCTCAGCAGAGAGCGATGAAGAAATACGTGAGGTTCTCTACCTCAAGGCCTGCAGGAAGCCAGAATGGACCAACACATCATCCCCTACATGATTAAACTTCTGCAAGTCAGTTAAAGCAACCAGACCGCTCAGCCCAGTCACGAACAGAGAGATGAAAAGAGCATTATGCCACCAAACACTACCTCCGCGGGATTACATGGGTACCTTGGAGATGAGGCGCTCCTTGCAGGACACAGAAACAACGTTCAGAGCAAACACAAGAGGAGACACATAAAAGGACAGGCGCTGCCCCAGCCGCCCATTTATCTGCAGGGGCTGCAGCCTGCTTCTGCACAGCTGGAGGCGAGGAGCAATCCCACTCAGCATCCATCGACTCACCTGTGGTGAGAATCAGGCCCAGGTGCCTGCTAGGACTCACCTCTGGAAACCATAAGCTTCAGGCTCTAGCAACCTGCAAGGTGACCTCACTGACTTTTATGCCATTTTTTTATACTTCTACTACAAATGGCAAAACATTGCCGGGGTTTGTGTAAAATGTTTGTCAACTATAGCCCTACTCCACAAACAGTTTCACAGAGCAGCTCAGCCTCCCCGTGCTGTACCCCATCTCCCTAGATTTTTACAATGTGTAAAGGCTACTGCCAGTTGCCACGACCCCCAGCCTTTTTTTCATCATTTTTGACTTATTAATATGCATATTCTTCTTAATGTTAATGTATCTTCTTAATGCATAATTTGTATTACATCTCATGGTATTGTTTACTATACAGCAAATAATGAGGAGTAATGTTCCATCCTTCTCGTTCCTGACATTTCATGAAGCTGCTCTGCTTTGCAGCTCTGTGGCAGCTTTGGCAATCAGCAGCGTACAGGATCGGGCGTACAGGCTGCTCACGTGCCTGTGTCTTTCTGAGTGATCCTTGCCAGTCCTGAAGAAGGACCTGGCCCCTGTGTGTGAAATATGGAGTTGCCCAGACCTGCCTCAGCTCAGACATGCTATAAACCCGTTCCCACCCCTTTTGGTGTGCAGGAGAGAGCAGCCCCTGACTCAGGGTCCAGGCGTTTTTGGGACCACATCCCAAAGAGCCTGGCTCCACTGCTCCCCCCGCATCCCACCCCGCTCACAAGCATGAGGCCAGCTGTTATTTGCATTCTTATCCAGTTCCTAAGGCAAACATAAAAACTTCTTTCTAGCAAAACAAAATTGAGGCAATATTTGTGTGTTTGACCAGCTAAAAGTAACAGAGCAAGCATGACGTGCTCAGCTTGCACTCCTGGATGAGCACCAGCAGTACCCTGTGGCTCACTTGTAATCAATGAGCATCAGCTAGAGAAGTTTTGCCTTGTTTCATTTCTAGGCTAGCATATTTCATGCTTTAAAAAACAACAAAATTTGTATAGTGAGGAGAAATATATAAATATATTTTGAAGGTTCCCGAAAAAAATCAGTTTTTTTCATATCCCAATAAAAAGTTAGGATGTATGTGTGTCTGTATGTGTGTATGCATGCAATGTGCATACATATAAATACAAATAGATCTATAGTAAGTATATATACAGGGGTGTGTACCAGGCTTAGACCACTGGCCTGTGATGCTGATGTAGGCGCGAGCAGACGAGCACGGTGTTGCAGGTGTGGAGCTCGCCGTGCTCTCTGGACCTGTATTGCACCCCACTGCCGCGACTGCCCTGCGCAGGGATCCTCAGGTCACACTGCTGTCTCCCATAGCGGACCCTTCTAAAGCGTATCCCCATTAACGGGTTTTCTTGTCGAAGTTACTACCCCGAGCAGAGATCATTTATCACTTGGAAACAGCGTGAACAACAGACTTAGTCGACTTCCCTGCAACGGCACGAGCGATACGCCCACACTGAAATCTGCGGCCGTAGCTCCATAAAGCGCAGCCAAGAAAGGACACACCACAGCCAGACCCCATGGTGTGCAGCAGTCGAGGCATTAGCGCGGCGGGAGCAATGCTCACGACAACACTGCAGCCAGACGCCTCACGGCCTGAGCCCGGGGAGCGGTGGGCCAAGGGATGCCCCCCCGCTGCCTGACACGGGAGGGATGCTCAGCACCGGCTGCGGAAATGCCGGTGCGGCTGCCCCAGCGAGGAGCCTCTCCTCCCTGAGTTATTGCAGAGCTGAGATTGCGCTAGGGAAGGAGTTAATTAAGCTTCACAGCTTCCCCTCTGACATCTCAAAGCATTTACCCACGTCATGGAGAAGTGGGGAGAGGTCTGTGCCAAAGCCCTGTTGACACAAGTGGGGGTTTCTCCCCTTGGGCCAATATTCACTTGTCTCTCTAGGGAAAGGGCTTTGACAGCTGGAGACGGAAGCTGCCATGGAAATGCAAAATTTCATTAATTTCTTAACTGCATTATTTTTGCCGCCAGCCGTTGTTCCCGTCGGAGGCCAAGAGGTGTGGGTCCATGTCCCCTCCAGCCTGGCAGTGGCACACGGACGGGGGTGTCACTCAGCTGCCATCGCCCCGAGGTTGAACTTCATCCTCCCCTGGGGGGGCACCGGGCAGGCTCACGAACAGCCCAGCCTGGATGGAGGTGGGAAAAGGGGAGAGGGGAACCAGCCCCTCGGGGGGACGGGACAGGGTGGTGTGGGCACTGCACATGGCCGAGGGACGGGGTGTTCTGTGCCACGTCCTCCCTCCGGTTTTCCAGACCAACTGCCGAACCAGGCCGGGGGGGGTTCTGCCTCCTGCAGCCAGGGCCTGGGCTGTTTGCTGTCCTGGTGCCTGAATTCATCATCACCACCCGCACCGAGTTATGTGGACTTGATGGGCAAAACCACCTTTCAGTCTGGCATTCTGCAGGAAGACACAATGTCAAGCACCTTATTGACACGATGATGCCATGCCTGTTGGAAAACACGAGAGCGGGGTACAGGACACTGTTCCCCCCCAGCCAGCAACTAAGCACCACCCAGCCACTCACTCACTTCCCCCCACCCAGTGGGATGGGGGAGAAAATCAGGAAAAAAAAGTAAAACTCGTGGGTTGAGATAAGAACATTTTAATAGACAGAAAGGAAGAAACTAATAATGATAACAATAACAATAATAAAAGGATTGGAATATATAAATTATGCACAACGCAATTGCTCACCACTCACCAACTTACACCCAGTTAGTTCCTGAGCAGCGGTTCCCCCCCCAGCCAACTCCCCCCAGTTTATATACTGGGCATGATTTAACATGGTATGAAATACCCCTTGGCCAGTTTGGGTCAGCTGCCCTGGCTGTGTCCCCTCCCAATTTCTTGTTCCCCTCCAGCCTTTTTGCTGGCTGGGCATCAGAAGCTGAAAAATCCTTGACTTTAGACTAAACATTACTCAGCCACAGCTGAAAACATCAGTGTTACCAACATTCTTCTCATATCTAACTCAAAAAACATAGCACTATACCAGCTACTANGAAGACAATTAACTCTCTCCCAGCCGAAACCAGGACACCCTGCGAGCACAAGGTGGGGCTCACCCCGGCACGCTCAGTACGATGCTCCTGCCCGGCTCTTCCCCAGCCTTTTCCCAAGCAGAAGTGCGTGTTTTACACTCAATTTGTTGGGAACCTAGTGGATACTCCACCCTTTCTCTAAAGGAAGTGCTACTCCAATAGAGGCAAAGGGGATGAGAGATTTTATGTCAGTTTTTAGGAAGCTGAAAGACTGGAGCCTGTCTAGCACCAAAAAGGAGAGCAGCTCTTTTTACCAACTAAAGCCTCGGCTCCTTCAGCTGGAAGACAAAATAAAAAGGGCATTTGATGTCTTGTGTGCAGGCTGGTCTGCATAGTCTCCATTTTCATAAACCAAGATTGGAGCCAAGCTGTTCCAAACGACCCTGCAGAGAATGCAAAGCCGCCAAGAGCCGGACCGTATGGCTGCCCTGGGCAGACTGAG